GCTGTGTCGTCACTACGAATTCAACGTCATGCGGGCCGTTGCTCAGGATGTTGGCGCTGCCCTCCTACTCGTGCGACGGCGTGGTTATGGTGCAGGAGCGCCATGTGGGGGGTGAGAAGCTGGCCGATGTCCAGAAGAAGGCGATGGATTTGGGATTCCCAGGGGCGTGGGCGCCAGCGGTATGTTCGGGCCGCGGGGGCGCCGCAGGTGGAGTCGCGATCCTCGCCTCTGCCAAGGTGCTCGTCACACGCCCGCCCTTGGCAGAGTCGGCCGTTCTGGTGCCAGGGCGAGTGGTCGCAGCGCGTGCTCACTGGGGTCGTCCAGCGGGTATTGTGTGTATTTCGGTCTACTTGATTGTGGATGTGAAGCTCGCTGGTGGGAATGTTGAGATTTTTCCGATTGTATTAGCATATCTGTCAAAGTTGAATGCGATAGGGCAGCCGTGGATTGTCGGTGGCGATTTCAACGTGGACCCTGGGGGCGTCGAAGACTGGTTCCATACAGTTCGCGGTGTGTTGCGAATGGCAGTGGGGCCCACGTGTAGGCAAGCTGCTCCTGGGACAACACGTGACTACTTCTTTGTTAGTGAACCGTTGGCAGTGTATATTGGCGAGCCGACGGTGGACGAGTACGTTGACACATTCCCCCACCTTCCAGTCTGGATGCCCCTCGAGGCGAAGCCGATGGTGATGTGCAAGAGGGTGCCAGTCGAGCCGTCGAAGTTCCCAACTGTATTTCACCCAGGGTGTGCACGTTTTCCTCCTGTTGCAGAGTGGCGGCAGGTTCGTGATGCGATGGCGGCAGCTAGTACGGAGGCAGAGTTGGCGGAGTGCTGGGTTGGTGTTCTCCGTGGATTGGAGTCCGAGATGCTGGATCGGGCCGACGTCGTGGACGTGCGTGAGCGTGCTCTGTTTCGCGGAAGGGCGGGTGAGTATAGGTTCGAGTGGAAAGTAGTCCAGCCTAAGCAAAATGCCCTGCCCGGCGAAGTTGAAGCATGGCGTGCGTTTGGCTGGTGGACCAGGCGCTTGCGAGGCGTCAGATGCAGATTGCAGCCCCTGCTCTTGTGCGCGAATTGCGATGCTGAGTACCTTGGCAAAGAGATCTATGATTTAAGGGGTTTCTTCCGTCGAATACGTCGTGGAGGATGGGTAATGGACCGCCTGGCGGAGGAAGCGCAGGACTTCATCTCGGACATCGTGGCAAGGTTCTCGGACGGCGACTTCTGCGACCGCGTGCAGGGCTTCTTGGACATTGTGGATGGTAAGGTGGCCGCCCATGCCGAGAGTGCTGCCGCGTCGTGGGCCAGGCGGGCGCCCCAGACACTGAACGGTGCCACCTGTTTGAGCAGGCCGACAATTGCATTGGCCAGTGGCAGTATATACGGGCGATGTATAACTGTGCGGCTCCCACTATTCCTGCGGATGCACATGCGTGGGAGGGTTTGCCGCAGTTCGAGGTCGGGCAGATCAGGAAGGTGCCCGGGAGCTTCCCGACCAAGACTGCTCCGGAGCAGATTCGGCTCCATCCCCGCTCGCTGGACGTGGTCTCGGACGAGGGATTGTCGGCGATGGGTGAGCTCTTCCTTGCGTGCGAGAGGTCGCTGTGCTGGCCGCTCAATCGCGTTCACACAAGGTTGGTCAGATTGGGAAAGCCTGACGGTGGGCACAGACTTATTGCGCTGCTCAACAGCCTCGTCAGGATATGGGGGCGGTTGCGACGCCCGCTGTCCGCAGATTGGCAGATAAAAAACAGGCACCCAGCGTTCTGGGGTTGCGGGGGAGCTTTGTCGTCGTCGGACGCAGCCTTCTCGCGTAATCTAGAAGCTGAAGCAGCAGTGGCTGTAGGTAAGCATGCCATGTCTGTGCTGGTGGATATGTGCAAGTGTTATGAGTGTATAAGTGTCAACGCGCTTGTAAAAGAAGCCCGCATTTTAGAGTATCCCCTTCGGTTGATCTGGATGTTGCTGGCGCTTTACCGTTCTCCTAGGGCTGTCCGGGCGGTCGGGTCGCTTTCCAGGGAGGTCACCAGCTACCAGGGGATACTCGCGGGGTGTTCTCATGCGAATACTCTCATGCAGCTCCTGCTTCGCAGGGTCATTGCACGCCTATGCGTATTGTATAGCAACATTCGACCACGGGTCCTGATGGACGATGCGAGTTTTCAGTGGATCGGGGATTCGCCGAGGGACTCGGGTCCGCTCCTCGGGGCCGTCACTTGGTTTTGTCGGAAAGTGCTCCGCCTGGGGCTTGTGCTGCAGGTTTCAAAAGTGGGTTTGTGGCTTCTACGGCCCGTGCTGCTGCGAAGCTTGCCCCGCTGGCGAGAGTGATGTAGCTCCGAGGTAGGGCGCGCGTGCGTAACTTAGGGCACGAAGTATTTAGTGGCCGTCCGCTCAGAAGGATGGAGAACGCGAGGTTGAATAAGTTGTCTAAGCGTCGGCCGACACTCCAGGCCCTTCGAAGGGGCGCCCCGCCCAAGGTCGGCACGCTCTGGAGGGCGGGCCTTCTGCCAGCGGGGGCCCACGGGGCTGGAGTGAGTGGCCTGACGGATATCACGCTCATGTCCCTGAGAACGTTGGCTGGAACCTTAGTGGGCGCGAAGAGGTCTGGCGCTCTCACCTCGTGGCTGGCCACGCAAAGGGGCAGATTTTTTGACCCCGTGTATGAGGCAACAATCCCGCTGCTGACCAGGTATGCGTCAGTGATTTGGGACGATTTGTTCCCCCTCAGCACCTTGCAGCATGCCTGGTGTTCGATCTGCGCCCGCTTGAAGGTCCGAAAAACCTGGCGCCAGTGCAAAGGGCCGATTTCGGCAGTGTGGTTGTCTCTGTTTCGAATAGGGTGGTCTATGTCGTCTGCGCACATTCTAGTTGATGACCTCGGCAACTCCCACTCTCTCCTTCGCGTCTCGCCTTCCGGTCCTAGTGAGTTGCTGAGGCAGGGGATATTGCGTTGGCAAGCGACCCGCATCTTGCAGCATGCGCCAGAGTCTAGCGGCTCTGAAGCCATCTAGATGAGAGGGCTGCGCCGCGGAGTCCTTAATATTAGAGATAGTAAACTTCAGGGGGCTGCTAGGTGCCTTGTTGGATGCTCCATGCGGCCCCCTGAGCGGAGAGTTCAAGCGGGCTTTGACTCTGATGATAAATGTAGGTTATGCTCCTCTGGCGCTCGTGGGACCCTAGGTCACCAGTGGTGCGACTGCGAGGGGATTTTGGATTACCCACGGAGCCATGGGCGCAGTTTTCCTGAGGACGTCCTGGAGCTGCGGTCGGCCATGCGGGACGAGGGGGCGTCTGGTCTTGGCGAGCCCGATTGGGACACGGTGGAGTTGGCCTACGGTTTTCCGCTGGAGCAGGTTGCTATCCCCCCGTGCCCGATGACAGCCCCGTCTGCTCTTGGGGCCGTGCCTACCTATGAGGTGCTCGGGAGGCGCATCTTCACGGACGGCTCGGGGCTGGCCAACAACAGCCCCGAGCTGCGCCGGTGTGGATGGGCCGCCGTGGAGGTGGGGCCCTCTGGGCCCCCCGTTCGAGCGGTCTACGGGGCCCTCCCTGGGCGGCTTCAGTCGGTTCCCAGGGCGGAGCGCTACGCAATTGACCAAGCTCTTAGGCACGGCCCACGGGACGCCCAGGTAGTGTCTGATCATTTGAGCGCGGTAAATGAAGGTAATGAATGGTCTCCTCAGCTTACCCGAGGCTCGTCGCCGCACGCCTCCATATGGAGGGGGAATTTTGAGCTGTGCCGTGAGGTCGCGGAGAGACCGAGTTTTGCATGGGCCCCCGCTCATCGTGAATGGTGCGACTTGGTCGATGGAGGGGCCACCGAATTCGAATATGAATACTTCATCGGCAACTGCTGGGCGGACTGGTTTGCCCGTGTAGGTGCCGAGTCTGTCGCTGCCGCCCGTGCGCTGGAGGAAGTCCAGAAAGGGCAGCTGGCTTTCATTAAAAGAAAGTTCGATGTTTTGGCCCGTTTTGTGCAGTCGGCTGCCGCGCTGGCTGAAAAAGACGGGAGCGTCTCGACCCCGTCCCTGTCCTGTGATCCGCGGGTCGTGGGAGTTAGTGGGAAGGCGGTCCTGACTGAGCACGACCTGTACCATTTGCCCAACCAAGGTCAGTGGAGATGCAAGTCGTGCAATTTGTTCGCTCGCACGCAGACTTCCCTGTTACAGCTGAGATCGGGAAGTCGTCGTGTCTGTGCCCCATCGGATTTGTGCGGTGGCAGGCGAGTTGTTTCTTTGATCGGTTTGGCTCGGGAGCTGTGCCCTTGGCCTCCCAGTCGGTGCAAGCTGTTTGAGCAGTTTCGAGCGCTGAAGCAAAAACCTGAGCAGTGCGGAAAAGTGGTTTTATGCTCGGTATGCTCGGCGTTCTGTATCATGCCTGTCGGGTCAGCCCGTGGTTTGCGGACCGAGTGCAAAGGGAGGGGTTCCAACCCCAGCACTCGAGACTCACAGGTGTTGAAGATCAAATATGCTTCGCGTGGCCTTCACCCCAAGACGGGGGAAGCTCTCTTTGACTGATGGGGAGGGAGGCCTGTCGAGTCGCGGACCCTTGCCGCCTGGCAGGGGCTGCGGCTGCAAAAATTGGATGGCCTCCCTCCGTGTACCGCCCGCTCGCTTGACGATTGTGTTGTTTGCCGTCGTCATGGCGAGTGAGAGTGGCCTGCTGCGCGTGCAGCGAGGCCGCTAATCCCAGGTTTTGGCGTGCGTTTCCGACACGGTCGCGCTCAGCCGTCGCGGGCCTCCTCCTCTTCCCCCTCCTCCTTCATCCCTCCCGTCCCCCCTCCCTCCCTCCAGACGGGCCCGGGAGGTTGCGGCGGCTACAGCCCAGGCGTGGGCCAGCCTTTTGGCTGGCTAACGCTCCACCCTCCTCCCTGCTTTCCGCTTCCCCGCACGCCGCGCTGCGCAAATGCTCCAAACGCTCCCTCTTTCCCTCCCTCCTCCCTTTTTTTTCCTCCCTCCCGCCTTCCCCCCTCCCCACCTGGGTCCCGCCCGCCCCGCCGCAGGATCGACAGCGCCCAGGCTCGTGCCGAGGCCCCGCGGGCCCCCGCGGGGAAACGCGCCCCCGCCGCTCTCCCACGGACGCCTGCTGGACGGGCAGCGCCCACGCGGGAGCGGATACCCCGGGGCAGTTGCGCAGATCCACCGCCTGGGGGGGCCAATCTTTTCGGGGGCCTGGGGGGGCCACCGCCTGGGGGGGCCACCGCCTGGGGGGGGGCCTGGGGGGGGCCACCGCCTGGCGGGGTTCGGGGGGGCCGGGTCCGACGGGGCTGCCACGATTTCCCCGAGGCGGGCTGAGGCCGCCCCTGCCCCAAGCTCTCGTCCTTGTGCTGCACCGCGCCGCCCTTCACGGCATTCCCCGCCATCCCCTCCTCGGGCGGGGCCCCTGCGGGGGCCAACCTTCCCAGGGCTCGGGGGGGCTCTGACGGGGCTACGGCGTTTTTTCTCGGAGGCGGGGCGGGACGAGACTGGCAACCCTGCCTGGCGCTCTTGGTCCCTTCTGGGCCTTCTGGGGTCTTCTCGTCGCCACGGCTGGATCCGCCTCGGAAGCAAGTCAGGATCGGATGGGGCTATGACGAGGAGAAATCCCTTCCAGAGTGTTCTGGATCGCTCTCAGAGCGTTTCGGAGCGCTCCGAGAAGGCCGCGGCGCCCGAGACGTCCTTCAGAGCCGCTGGACCTCAGAGAGCCTCGATTTATCCCCACCCGATGTTATCTTCGTCGTGGATTCGTCTCAGGGGCGGCGGATGTGGACACACCCGGTGCCCCTGTGGCCCAGACGGGGCGTTCCAGAAGGGGCCTCGGTTTCGGGGGATCGAGGGGGTTGCTGCCTCTTCCTGGGCGGAAGCCGGCGGACGCAACACGGCGACTGCTTCCGCTGGCGGAGGCTGGCAGCAGGGCTCGCGGAAACCGGCGGAATTCAAAAGCACAGTAATTCAAAGCATAGTCCCGAAGACAAACATTACGTTTGGATTCAGGGCTTTCGGAACCCGCCCACATGCAGCAATATCCACCGCTCCCCGAGGTTCAGGAAGATCGGGCGGTGAACATGTATGAGACCCCGCCGCGCGGATACCATGCGAGGTGCGGCTGGAGCGCCGAACTAATGACCACTTCGGGGTCGGGAGCAGTTATGGTTGTCGTTCTCGGGCCGCCCCTTGATCAGACTTCTGGGTCGGGGGGCCCGTTCGTGGCCGAGGCTCGTCGTGGTTCCTCACACGCTGGTCGGTGAAGGTAGGTAGCTCTGGATTCCCAGATCCCAGTCTACTTCAATAATCGGTCTGCTTTTGCTGTGTTTTGGGTTTTTCTCTGGGAGTACCTGGCCTGAAGCCAATGTATGTACTTTTCCGCCCTCCTGCTTTATGTCTTTACCTGCTTCTTCCGACCGACATGTACAGTGCAGACCCATGCCAAGAAACAACCTGCTTGCCTCCAGGGTGCCCTGGGTTTCTTGGGTTGCGATGGTTTCGTGATGGAGAGCGCGACGTTCCCACACCAAAAATCAATGGACGCCCTGGGGTCTCAGGGTTGGGTTTCTTGTGGAAGTTCTCTTGTGGACTGGCCTGCACTGTATCAGGCGTTCCCCATGTCAACCTGATGGCCGTGGCGGGCTTCGATGTCCCCCCCCGAGTGGCCCAGGGCCGGCCCGGCAGCCCGGCGCCGCCTCGGGAGCGGCGCCCCTGGAACGCTTCGTGCCCGAGGGTCGGTGTGTTGAGACCGCCGAGTGCGCGTCGTAAGTTGGGGCGTCGTGTGCGGTCGGGCCGAGGCATTGCGACATACAGGTCGAGGTCGGTTCGGGGAGGGTCCCCTGCTTTTGTTCTTCGTGTTTCTTGGATGTTCTTGTGCATCCTGGGGGAGGGTACCCTGGAATGTTTGTCACTTTTGCTGGCGGAGGGTCTCATGTTCTTCAAGGACGTGGTTCTGTCAAATGGGGGGGCAAAGGAGGGTGCACCTTCTGTGCCCGCGGTCCCGTTGGGTCCACCAGGGGCACGAACAGTGCACCTTTCTACCGCCCCATTCATTGCCTCTCATCATAGCAGCGCGGGCGTTCAAGGTTGGAACGCCGCCAGTCGCTTGGAATCGGCCGTCATCGAACGATCTGCGCTGTCGGGAAGACGCGATCGCTCAAGGTCGAACGATCCACGCGGTGTCAGAAGCCAACGTTGCAGTCGTCACAACACGAACCTGTCAGTGGCCTGTTGAGGCCAACCGGGACTGGTCATTCTAGACGCTTCGCGTAACCCCACCAGCCCATCCAAAGACGATGCCTAGGCGAGTTGCCCTGCTCAGGGATGTGGAGGAGCATCTAGTAGAATAAAGGGCTGGGGAAGCCGTCATACCCCAATACGGGGAGGATGGAGGAAGAATTATAGGAGGAGGAGGGGAGGAAAAAATGATAGGAGGAGGAGGAGGAGGAGGAGGAGGAGGAGGCGGAGGAGGAGGAGGAGGAGGAGGAGGAGGAGGATGAGGGAGGAGGGAGAAGGGCGAAGGGAGAAGGGAGAAGGGAGAAGGGAGGAGTGAGGAGGAGGACTAGGCGGATGAGGAAGAGCATGAGGAGGAGGATGAGGAGGATGAGGAGGAGAATGAGCAGAAGGGGGAGGAGCAGGGCGAGCAGAAAGACCAGAGGCCTCTTGGATGCCTCTCGGAGTCTCTTCGGATGTCTCTTGAGAGTTTCTTGGTATCCTCTCGGGGCGTCATAGGGGCCTTTTGGCGGTCCCTGGGGCCTCTTAGAGCGTCTCATGTGCCTTGGGGAGGCCTCGTAGGACCTCGAGAACCTCTTGGAGACCTCTTGGGGTCATCTTGGGGCCTGCTGGGCGCCTCTTGGGGCCCTCTTGGGGCACTCTCGGGAGCCTTGGGGGCCATCGTGGGGCCATCTTGGAGGAGTTCGATCAACCATAGTAGGATCCCCCCCGCCCAGGAGGCCAAGATTGGCCCAACACCTAAGTCAAATCAATGATGTGTGCCTTCTCGCCGGGGCCGTCTTGGACGCTCCACTGGGTCGCGAAACCCCCTTCCAGGTCCAGGCGGAGGGAATCGAGGGCAGGGTAAACCCTCCCCCGAAGGGGGAAAAGTGGGGGTTGGAAGAGGAACTTTCCAAAACCACTCTCGCCCAGAGGGCTGGTGAGATTTTCGGTGGTTGGCTGTGTACAACCCCAAGCGGTGACAAACACTGGAGCCCAGTCATGGCAGGAAATTGCTGACAACTTTGATGTTGTCACAGGGGCGTGCAGGCTGGACAGACTGGCATTTTCATTGCACCGCTCATGACGTCGACGCAAACGGTTCGCATTGGTACCCTTTGGTTGCGAATATCGAAGACGCCTACGGCGAACCACCACCGCCCCTTGCCTGTTGGAAGCGCCCAAAGCGTTGGGCCAATGTCTGCCCAAATGTGTTTCCCCAGCCGTTTTGGAAGCCCTTTTGGTGAACGCTCGGGGTGGAGGACAGAAACAGAAACAGGAGGAGGAGGAGGAGGAGGAGGAGGAAAAGGAGGACACGGAGGAGGCCTCTTGGGACCCTCTCTCTTGGCGTCTGCTGGGGGCCTCTTCGGGGCCTCTTGGGCGCCTGGTGGGGCCTCTTGAGGGGGCCTCTGGGGGCTCTTCGGAGCCTCTCGGGCCGTCTTGGGACTCTCTTGGCCCGTCGGACGCCTTCGGAGGCCGTCTTGGGGGCCTGTCTGGGCTGTCTAGGAGGTCTCTTGAGCCGTCTTGGGGCCCTGTGGGGCCGTCCTGGGGGTCTCTTGGCCTGGCTTGAGGCTCTCTTTGAGGCCTTCTGGGCCGTTTTGGGGCTATGTTGAAGGCTCTTCGGGCTATCTTCGGCTATCGGAAGCCCGAAAGGCGAGAACACGAGCTCATCGTGGGCAGTCTGGGCCAGTTGGGAGGTATCTTGAGCCGTCTTGGAGGCGTCTTGGGGGCAGCTTTGGCCATCTTGGCGGCCCTGATTTCGGCTGGAGGGCATTGCCCGCTTATGAGCGGGATCCTGAGGGGCGGCGACACTTGCCCGACCAAACGGGCCCCTAGAAAAGTGACCATGCGCGCCGCGTCAGCCCCCGAGGCAGCACTGATCTGATCTGCAGGGGCGGTGCCCCCGCTTCTCGGCGACGCAGACCTCGCCCTTGCCCTCCTCCTTGCGCTGCTGGCCCGAAGCCCGCGCGACATTACTCACCCCCTTTTCAACGCAGCAGCACTGCGCCAGCACGCTCGCCATGGCGCCGCGCCTCGCCCTCGCCCTGGTCCTCCTGGCCGTGGCGCCCAGCACCGCGGCGGCCGCGGCCACCGACACCACCATCAACCCGGTGCGCAAGGCTCCGGGGGAGCGAGGCACATGCTCTTCCAGACAGCCGTCCAATGTCTCATCTCAGGCGATCGCAAACATGGATCAGGGGAGCGCGGAGCGTGGATTAGCCACGGTTCCCGTTTCCACTGGAGACCGCGGATCTCCGCCGCCGGACGAGGCGGCGCCGGCCGCATTTTGGGGAGGGCGCCTGCCCCCATCCATGGATCTGGCGACCGCGCGCCAGGTCCATGGATCGCTGATCCATGCTTGCGCGCCCCCGAGTCCAGACAGACAGGCCTCGGAAAAAAAATAGCGAACACTCATGCCACATTCATCTGTGAACGCCTCCCCCTCCCCCCAATGTTCAAAGTTGGCGGTGTGAGTTGCACCTCGACCGCAGTCTCCCCCGCGCGTGCAAACCTTGAGTTTGGGGGGCAGGGGGGGTGTTCACTAATTGTTTCCCTCTACTGGACGTCCAACGTCCCATCGGCGGCGAGCCCAGGGTGGAAGGCAGGGGGGGCGGGCCCGCTCAGACGGCTCAGAGAGGGCCTCGTGCTTTTGCTTGAGGAGCTCTCGGGGCCTGCTCGGAAGCCACAGGCGGCTCGATTCTCAGAGGGCGGGGAGGTTTCTGAGGAGCCCCTGCGCCTGCGGAGAAGGCCTGCCCCCTCGCGCTTCCCCTTGTCGGCGCGCCGCCAGTCTGGAGAAAATCGAGGTTCAGCAGGCTTTCGCCGTTTTCCGGCCTCCAGGGGCCCTCTCCTGGCTCCGGGGTTGTGAGAGACCGATTGAGGGTGAGAAGCTGGCCACACGGAGGACGGGTTGGGACTTCCCCGTGCCCGACATTGAACACATCAAGGAGTCGGATGTCTTTGTTCGTCTGCATTCCGCCTCCTCCAGGGGCCGGAACGGGGCCAGGAAGGTTCAAACGACCTCGATCCTCGAAGCCTCGTCCCCGCTTTGCTTCACACTGCTGACCGCTTGTTTCTTGGATGGTGTTCGTGCGAGCAGAGGTGGTAACGCTGCTGCAGAAGATGCAGAAGGCCGTCCAGGAGGAGGGCGAGAGGGAGCAGGAGCTGTTCGATGCCAGAGGCCCCGTGCCGTTCCGCGGAAGACCCCCCGGAGGAGGAGGAGGAGGAGGAGGAGGAGGAGGAGGAGGAGGAGGAGGAGGAGGAGGGCGAGAAGGAGGAGGAGGAGGGCGAGGAGGAGGAGGAGGAGGAGGAGGAGGACCCCCCAGAGGACGAGGAGGAGGAGAGGAGGAGGAGGAGGAGGAGGAGGAGGGCGAGAGGGAGCACGAGCCGTTCGATGACAGAGGCCCCGTGCCGTTCCGCGGAAGGCCCCCCCGGAGGAGAGGATCCGAGGCTGTGTGTGCCCTGGGACGCCCCATGGTCCTGGGAAAGCCGGGGTTGGAGGGAAAGCGAGGAGAGGAGGAGGAGGAGGAGGAGGAGGAGGAGGAGGAGGAGGAGGAGGAGGAGGAGGAGGAGGAGGACCAGGAGGACCAGGAGGAGGGGGAGGGGGAAGAGGATCGAGGTTCAGTGATCATGTTTTTGGACGCGCTCCGCCCTTTTTGCGCCCTGTGGAGACTGGCCGCCGCGGATGGATCTCCTTGGCCGTCCTGTCCAGAGCCCACCCGAGGAGAGTTCTGTCGGTCGGCGTTGCGGCCCGGAACTCAGCACCCTTGTGGCCGTACTTTTATGAATTGTTTCGCCGATCGGCGCAGGCCCCCTCCTCGCCCCTCCACCCCCTGGTGGACCAGATCTAGACTGCTTTCGGCGTCTGCCTTGGGCGACTGGTCAGGACCCCTCCCCCCAGTCGACCTGCGCGACTGGTAAAATCAGATCGACCAAGCACCAGCCCAGACCCAGCCCGCCCCCCCTCTCCCACCCTTCGGACAAACGACGAAAACCAGTAATTACCAAATACGGCTCGACAAAGTCTCGCTGGAGGTTTCTCTTAAGATCTCCAGAGTCCTGAGGTCGTTTCTTGGGGAACATGTCTGGGGATGGCGACTGGAAAGGATCAGGTCATCCGGGGCTTCGGGTGTGAGGTCGAGGACGAGCCAGGGGGGGAGAAGGATAAGGAGGGCGCCAGAGGGGGGGGGAGCCAGGGGGGAGCCAGGGGGGGGACGAGCCAGGGGGGGGGGGGAGCCAGGTCTGAGGGCTGCAGAGGCTCAGGGGCGATCATAGATGCAGGTAAACATGCGTCCCATGATCTGGTTTGACCTGTCCTAGCCTCGAATAGTTAAACATAGATTCCTCTTCTCATATTTTTACAAGCCCGGGCGGGGGTACCCCCCACCCCCAAAACCGGACTCCCGGGATCTGGGGCTTTGGGACCGTCCGGACGGGCCTCGAAGCGGCCCCCCGGGCCTCGCAGGGCGTTTTGCCAAGCCTTCCCAGCACACCTAGGGCGATCAGTGTGGTCATTGGAGACGTCCCAAAGACCCCCAAGACCGCACAAGAGCGCTCCAAGAGTGACCGACGTGACCTCAAGATGGCCCAAGAGGCCTCCAGGACGGCCCCAAAGAGGCCTTCAAGAGCACTCCCAAGAAGGCCCCAAGATGCAAAAATCCCAGATTTTCTGTTGGTTTTTAGTGAATTATGGGGTTCTCCTCTTTTCGGCTTCCCGACGCTCCAAGACGGCGGTCTTCTGGGCGTCCAAAGCCGCCTGGGAAGCTCCAAAATCGCCCCACAACCATCCGAAAGGGCTTCCAGGCAGTCCAAGAGAGCCCCATAACGGCACAACACGGGTCCAAGATGGCCCTCAGAGAGCCCCATGGCGGCCCAAGATGGCCCCAAGACACCCTCCGAAGCATTCCAAATCGTGACCCGGGTGTTCAGGGAGACCGCGGTTGGAGGCAGGGTGGCCCGAGGAAGCCCCCAGAGGCCCCCAGAATACGCCCTGGAGGCCTGCAGAAGGCCTTAAGAAAGCGTGAAACAATTTTGTGAGGCCCCCAGAAGCTCTCCAAGGAGGAGCCTCCGCAAAAAAGAGCTGAGGAGGATGGGGAGAATGCGCATGGTTTGGCGAACATGAGGAAAAAAAAGCATGGAGGAAGGATAACGAAAACCATTATTATAGAGCGGCGATGCTTGAAAAGGCAACAAAGAGTTATCGCTAAATTGTTGGCTTGACCTTCCTGCTATTCCGCCTGCATACCAAACTTCAAGGACCAAGGTGTATGGCGCGAAGTGCCACTGCAGTCTTGTACCGACATGTAGATATAAATGGCGCTTTAATTTGCGCCGTTCAAAGCCAATGTATGGGATATGTTCGTCGACGGCCAGGGCAGCGCAAGTGAAACTGGGCAGCCTGGCGGCTGGAAGTATGTTATCTGATTCTACAAGACTTACCGTTCGATATTCATTTCGAGCCCCCCCCATGCGTTCGGCCATCTGCGTCCCAGATCCATCCCTGCAGAATCGAACACAGGAGCCGCGTTTCGCCCCATGAGGTGGCTTGGCGAGTGGCTCAACCCTTTTCTTTGTTGATTACAGAACGGCAGGCTAGTGTTGCAGACGGGGGGAAGGGGACAGTCAATCATTTCACACACGACTTGTCACCCCCTGCAAGCGGGGGTCGGCAGACAAGTTCAAGTGTTACTGCAAGACTAGCGGTGGGAACCTGCAGGACATCGAAGGTTAAAAACATGATACCTGTAAGCTTTCGAAGGTCCGCGCGGATCTCCTGTGTCGGCGCTGCACCCGGTCTCAGCTCACTTCGGGGCGCCTCCAGCGCTGACCCAAGAATCCGCGCGGATTGCGAGAGCTGTTGCTTGTGCCCCTCTCCTGGTTCCCGAGGAGAGTATCTCGGCAGCCGAGACGAAGCTGCCCGAGGTGGCCGCGGAGATCAAGAGCAACACCGAGGAGAAGGCCGAGGTGGAGGCCAGTCTCGCCCAGGCCAAGTCCGACCTGAAGGACGCGGGAAGGCGGCCAAGGGGCACGTGCCCCCCCCCC